GTGAAGGACCTTGGTCAGTTTTTCTCAGTGGTTAGAGCATCGGCCCTCAGATCAGAGAGTCCCAGGTTTGGTTCCCGCTAAGGGCACGTACCTGGGTTGCGGTTTGTCCCTGGCCCTGGTTGGGGTGGCAACCAGTTAATGTGTCTCTCTCACATCGATGTTTCTCACTCTCTCTTCCTTTCTCTTTCCCTCCTGCTCTATCTGAAAATAAATGAAAAAAAAAAAAAAAAGGTGAAGAGATTAAGAAGTACAATTGGGTTGTTAGACAAGATAAACCAAAGATTTTATATGCATATTTGCATAACCAACGGACACAGATAGTAGTGTGAGAAAGGCGGGGGGTGGGGGGGCAGGAGCAGGGAGGAGGGGGTCAATGGAGGAAGGAGGAACATGTAATACTTTCAATAATAAAGATAAATTTAAGAAATAAAAATAAATAAATCAAAAGGGAAAGAACAAGGAAACTTTTAGGGGGAGATGCTAGGAAAATATATCTTGGTTATGATAGTGACATCACAGGTTTATACCTTTATCAAAACATACAGAGTTGTATAATTGAACAAGTGCATTTGACAGTATGTGAATTACACTGTAATACAATCTATTTCAAATGTCTAAACTATACATAATTATTGAATGTCTGTGGTAGGCACTGTTCTAAATGCTTAATTCTGCAATTCTCATTAGAAAAATGAATAAAAGAGAGATAGAATAAAGCTTGGCAGTTAAGATAGGCAGGCCTGGGTTTGAATCTTGGCCCCACTGCTTATTAGCTGGTGGGCCCAAGCACACTGCTTAAGCTCTGACCCTCATTCTGCTCGTCTGCAAAAGCAGAGCACTGATACCAGTAGCTCCATCACAAGACTGTTGAGGGTTACATGAGACTCAAACAGTGCTGGGCAACGAGAAAGCACTCAATGAGTGATAGAAATGACCATATGAGAACACAGAGTGGGCAACTGAGGCCAGAATGAAAAAACTGGGATCAGTCCAAAGGTGAACTTAACAACAACAACAAAAAATGCAGCTAGATATAAACCCATCCCATTGAATTAGGAATATTGAGAAACAAAATATAGGCCTAGGAAAACTTAGATTACAGGGTATTTCTAGAGTTTACAAAGGGTAATAATAATCTACTTGTACTCAAGTGTCTGGACATGTGCAAACTGGATAACAAACATTTAGTATATGATATAGTCCAGGCACTATGCTGGAGTTAAGTTTGGAAGTGAAATCAACTGGCAAATCTCAAATATTTGATAGTCACACCTGCCAACTCTACCTCTAGGTATAAAGTACTCTGGTATTTGACCCAAAGGATAACAATATTTACCAGCAAAATCTCTATTACCTAGAATCTAGGGTTTACATTCCCCTTAAGAGACCAGAGTTCTTGACATTAAAAAGACACTGACAGGTGTCATTTGAGCCATGAGCACCAGAGATGTCTATGGGATCCAAATGTAAGCAAAATTCCAAAGAAAATTTGGGATAGAGTATCTCTTTATCCCATGTATACAGTAGGTTCATACATGAGGTACCTATTGAGATAAACCAGGGACTTATAGATGGGAAGGCATTAGGACACAGACCCTTTTGAGCCTTACATTAAAACCAGCAAAACCAGCTATAATGTATGGTCATCAAACAAAAATTCCACTCTACAGTGGATGGGCAAAAAGGCAGGGTTAACAATGCTGCCTGTTCCATACCATTTGTAAGCGAAAAGCCCAACCTTTGCATTACATTAAAAATACTGTAATTTTTGGCATCTAATCTCAAATTAATTGCCAATTATTTAGGGGGTATGTCTATAAATCTTCTCCTAATTGTCAGGGGCAGTGAGCCAACAAAATAATAAATTGAAATAGAGTTTGTCAAAGTTTCTGTACTTCCTTTGAAATTCAAGATTTATTTTGCAAATGGCAAAGAAAACATAGGTCAGGAATATGTGGTACTTTTTCCAAGAAAAGGATTCAGAGCTTAAGACAATTTTATTTTTCTTCCTTTATTAATTTTTAGAGGGAGAGGGAGAGAGAGATAGAAACATCAATGAGACAGAACATTGATTGGCTGCCTCCTGCATACCCCCCACTGGGGATGGGGCCCACAATCTGGGCATGTGCCCTGACCAGGAATTGAACCCGTGACCTCTTGGTGCAGGGTCAACGCTCAACCAGTGAGCCACACCAACTGGGCAGTTTAAGATAATTTTATAGTACAAATGGAAAAAATGGGACTTAGACAGCCCTAGAGATGCCATTACTTTACATTTTCTTATTTTATATACATATATTGAATTCTGTCTTTTACATTTAAAACAATGTATTGCTGCTTTTTATTTATTTATTTTTTTGGTTAATCCTCATCTGAGGATATTTTTCCATGATTTTTAGATAGAGTAGAAGGAAGGGAGAAAGGGAGAGAGAGAGAGACATTGATGTGAGAGAGACACATTGACTTGTTGCCTCTTGCACGACCCTGATCAGGGCCGGGGATGAACTGTAACCCAGGTATGTGCCCTTGACCAGAATTGAACCCGTGACTCTTTGGTCTGTGGGCCGATGCTCTACTGCTGAGCCAAACTGGCCAGAGCAGCAGTTTTATACACCAATAGTGAAATATCAGAAATAGAAATTAAGAAAATCTCAGCCCTGGCTGGTTTTGCTCAGTGGTTAGAATGTCAGTCCGCGGTCCAGAGAAACTTGGGTTCAGTTCCTGCTAAGGGCACGTACCTTGGTTGCAGTTTGTCCCCAGCCCTGGTTGGGGTTGTGTGTGTGGCAACTAGTCAACGTGTCTCTCTCACATCAATGTTTCTCTCTCTCTCTCTTCCTCCCTCTCTCCCTCTCGCTCTATCCGAAGATGAATGCAAAAATGTCCTCGGGTGAGGATAAAAAAAAAAGAAAATCCCATTTACTATTGCAACAACAAAAAGTAAGACACTGAAGAATAAATTTAATCAAGGAGTGAAAGACCTGTACTTGGAGAACTATATAATATTGAATAAAGAAAATGAGAAACATACAAATAAAGGGAATCATATACCATGTTCATGGATTGGAAGAAGTAACATCACTAAAATGTCCATACTACCGAAAGCAATCTATAGATGCAATGCAATTCCTATTAAAATGCCAATGGCATATTTCACAGATCTAGAAATATTCCAGAAATCTATATGGAACCACAAAAGATCCCAAATACCTTCAGGCATCTTGAAAAAGAACAAAGTTGACTGGCTGATTCAGCTCAGTGGTTGAGCGTTGACCCTGCACCAAGAGGTGGCTGGTGTGATTCCTGGTCAGGGCACATGCCCAGGTTGTGGGCCTAGTCCCAGTGGGGAGCATGCAGGAGATGGCCGATGTTTTTATCTCTCTCTCCCTCTCCCTTCCTCTCTCTCCAAAATCAATAAAAAATTTAAAAAAATTCAGTGGGGGAAAAAAGGAGAAACATCTGTAACAAAAATAAATTAATTAATTTTTTTTAAAAAAAATAAAAACTAAATAAAGATATATTCAGAAAAACAAAAACAAAAAAAACCACAAAAATTTTAAATCAACTTCTTTCAATTCATATAAAATATTTTTTTAAAATTGCTTACTGTGAGATGCAAAGAAAGAACCTCAGAAGATGTTGGGGGCCTTAAGAAGAGAGGATTAACTCCAAATCTATAGGTATTGTAGATGAAGTCTGATGGCAGGTATGTGACTGGGCTTCTTACCCTCAAGAGGCCTTTTCATGTTCAGTCAGACGATTCCTTATAAAAATTCCATCAGAGCAGATTTTGAAAGTACCTATGTGGCTAATTACTATTCTTGCTGGACCTGTACAAATAACTAGGTCAAGTTTATTGAAACTAGGCTTGTTTTGCAAATAAATTAGTCTTAATTTGGTTAGTTTTAGTTAAAATGGGAATAATTTTGGAAAGAAAAATTATTGCAAAAAAATTATAATATACCTTTATGAATATTAGATTCTAGTACTGTTCACTGTCTTTTGAGGATATTTTTTTCCTACCTGTAAACTGGATATGTTTCTGAATTTTTCTAGTTTCCTTAAATATTTGGCTGCAACCCTCCAAACTAACATTTTCATTTTCCCATCTCTGACTTGGGATTATTGAAAACTAATACTGCCCTTTTCCAAGGCCATGCAAGCTGAAGTTGAACAACTTTATGTAGACTTCAGAGACATGACCACAGTTCACCTAAGTCTGTTACAAGAAGATCACCAGAGACATCCGAACTGCAGACCAGGAGAATCGATCAGACTGTCATAGTCTGATTCCACTCCATCTGAAGATGATTTGAGGCAGACGTCTAGAAATCTTGACTGCCTGCCTTCAGAACTCAAAAACTAGAATTATATTCTGCTCCAAAATTAACCTTTGTTTTGGTTTTGTTTCCTAAGAGATGCCTCTTATTAAACATGATTACCTTTTTGACCCACCTACATGGCAGGGAAAACTTGTACTTACTACACATCTGTTCTTCTTATCATTCTGCAATGACCCTTTAGAGCCCCCAAGGCCCCTTACCTCCTCCTTAGCTCAGGATGTCTTATATCCTTTGATCCCCCTTTCTATTTCTGAACTTCTCCTGTATGTAGGGTCTTTGAACCTCTCATGTATCTGGGACAACCATACATATGTATATATTGAATCTGGTTATTTCTCTTGCTGAAAGATCTTGATGGAAGTAAAAAGAATAAAAATGCCAGAGAAAGAAGAAAAAGCTGGACCCTAGATCCAAGTACCAACATACAGTATAGTCTTTCCTTAAAAAAAAAACACAAGCAAAGGAGACACTAATGTGGAAAGAAGCCTTCAAGTGGGAATGGCAGTTAGACAGCCAAGGGACCAATATCAATTCTATTTATGTAGTTCCCACAGCTCAGAGCGGTACATGAATGTCTTATGACCGCTACAGAGTAACAGCCTCTGACGTGTGACTGCGGTTTGGTCACAGTGCCTCCCGTGCTCAGGGCCCAGTGCTCACCCAGGCAGCTCTGATTGGAGGTCTCACCATCTAATACACATTGCTTTCCTCCTTGCTCCAGGTTGTAAACGACTTCTGGTGGGGGAACTTGACACCCTAGTAACAGGAAATGACAGAAGACTTGGTATGAGGCCATACAATGATGTGTTCCATTTACACTTCAGAAAAATTCATGGAGAATAGAGGCATATTCAAAAGAGATTACCAAGAACATAGAGCCTAATATGACAAAACTATTACACACTTCAGGTGTCTGACAGATTTAGAAATCCCATACTTTAGAAATCCCACAGAGTTCAAAAACTCTACCAAAAAACAAAGGAAAATACACACACTTAGGTACAGCCTGTTCCCGCAGAGCTGTGCTTACCCACTGAGAGCAAGTTGAAGTAGTTTTCCAACATTACATCCCTGTACAGGCTTTTCTGAGCAAGGTCCAGGTGTTGCCACTCCTCCCTGCTAAATGCTACAGTCACATCCGTGAATGACACCGGTCCCTGTGGAAACACTCCTCTGCAATGTGAAAGGTCAGGACTGCAGGACTGGACAAAACAGTTAGGGACTTACTCATGTAATTCTTTAACATAATATAATACAGAAGGTTCCCAATAAACACCTGTATTTTACATTATTCTTTGTTTTTTCCCTTTATTGATTTTAGAGAGAGGGAGAGAGAAAGATAGGAACACTAATGAAAGAGAACATCGATTGGCCTCCTCCTGCATGCCTCCCAACTTGGGATTAGGCCCACAACCTGGGCATGTGCCCTGACTAGGAATCAAACTGGCAACCTCTTGGTGCTCAGCCACTGAGCCACACCGGCCGGGCTACATTATTCTTTTGAAGGAAATAATAAATCTTATTTGAAATGTTATGCCACTCTTTCTGTGATACTGATAATATTCTGGATTTTTGTTGCTGCTGTGGTTTTGTTTTGACCTATATGTTGGTTATAAAAGAATAAGCCGTGGCCCTGGCCAGTGTGGCCAGTTGGTTGAGTGTTGATACATGCACCAAGAGGTCCTGGTTTGATTCCTGATCAGGGAACATATCAGGGTTATAGGCTCAATCCCCAGCAGGGGAGCGTGCAGGAGGCAGCAAATGGATGTTTGTCACCAATGTTTCTGTTCCTCTCCCTTCTCTCTCTCTAAAATCAATTAAAAAAAAGAATAAACTGCCGGTTTGGATCAGTGGTTAGAGCGTTGGCCCATGGTCCGGAGAAAACTGGGTTTGGTTCCCGCTGGGGGCACGTGCCTCGGTTGCAGTTAGTCCCCAGCCTCAACTGGGGTTGTGGGAGGCAGCCACTCGATGTGTCCCTTTCACGTCAATGTTTCTCTCTCTCTCTTCTTCTCTCTCCCTCCCACTCTATCTGAACAAAAATGGAAAAATGTCCTCAAGTGAGGATAGGAAAAAAAAAAAAGAATAAGCTGCCCTGGCTGGTTTGGCTCAGCAGTTAGAGCATCATCTCATGTATATGTGGAATCTATTCAACAGCATAATTGAACAAACAAAATGGAAACCGAAGCATAGATATACGGAACAGACTGAAAGCTGTGAGAGGGAGTGGGGCTGGGGGTACAGGTGAAAAGAGATGAAAGGATTAATAAAAATATATATATTCATGACCTAGAAAAGCTGTGGGACATACATTCAATGGGACACTACTCATCCCTCAGAAAGAGGGAACACTGCCATTTGTTTTTTTTTTATTTTTATCCTCACCAGAGGACATTTTTCCATTTTTTGTTCAGGTAGAGTGGGAGGGAGAGAGAGGAACAGAGAGAGAGAGAGAAACATCGATGTGAAAGGAACAACATCGAGTGGCTGCCACCCGCACGACCAACCAGGGCCGGGGACAAAATGCAACCGAGGTACATGCCCTTAGCGGGAACCGAACCTGGGTCTCTCAGGACCGCAGGCCAACGCTCTAACCGCTGAGCCAAACCGGCAGGGTTGCTCTCGTTATCTTTTTAAACAGTCTTTTGGGACACGATGTTGCTTTATACCCATTGCGAAGGGTATTTTGTTCTTTAACATTCTCCTAATTACTGATGAACTTCATCGCCTGATGAGCCTATTGGACAATTGTATATTTGTATATGTGGGCCCATTCGAGTCTTTTACATATGTTTTGGATTGTCATTTACATTATTTCTGACTTAAAGCATGTTCTATTCTGGACACGAGTCCATTATCAACCGTGTGTGTGGAAAATAGTTTTCTCCAGTCTGCGATTTGCATTTTTACTTAACATTGTGCTTGATGAGCAAAAGCTTTTAAAAAATGTTTTTATTGATTTTCTAGAAAGAGAGGAAGGGAGAGATAGAAACATCAATGTGAGAGAGAAATATGGATCAGCTGCCTCCTGCACATCCCCTCCTGGGGATCAAGCCCACAACCTAGGCATGTGCCCTGACCAGGAATTGAACTGGGACCTCTCAGTCCCTGGAATGATGCTCAACCACCGAGCCACACCAGCCTGACTTGAGTTAATTTTTGTACATGGGAACAAACATATATCTAGTTTCATTCTTTTGCATGTGACTTTCCAATTTTCCCTGCATCATTTATTGAAGAGGCTTTCTTTTCTCCATCATGTTTTTGGCTCCTTTGTGGAAAACTTTTTCCCTGTAAACATGTAGGTTCATTTCTGGGTTCTCAATTCTGTGCGATTGGTCTGTGTGTCTTTTTGCCAATACCATGCTGTTTTCATTATCATTGCTTTGTAGTGTATTTTGAGGTCAAGGAGTGTGAAACCTCTGGCTTCGTTCTTATTTCTCAGCATTGCTTTGACTATTTGGGGTCTTTTGTGGTTCTATCCATACAAATCTGATTATTTTTGTTCTATTTCTTTAAAAAGTGTCATTGCATTAAATCTGCATATTGCTTTGGGTAATATGGACATTGTAACCATGGTGATTCTTTCAATCCATGAACATGGATTATCCATTTCTTGGTGTCTATTTTAATCTCTTTTATTAATGCTTTGTAGCTTGCAGTGTATAGGGTTTTCACATTCTTTGTTAAGTTTATTCCTAGGTATTTCATTCTTTTTATTGCAAATGCAAAAGGAATTCTTTTTCATTTCTTTTCTTGAAATTTCATTGTTTGTATATATAGGAATGAAATAGATTTTTTTTTTTTTTGTAGTTCCCTCTTATTTTTTTTTTTTTCAAATCTTTATTGTTGGATGTAAAATGTATTACAGATGTTCCACATTTTTCCCCCATTGACCCCCTCCTCCCCACTCCCGCCCCCCTCCCACCTTTTCCCACACTATTATCTGTGTCCATTGGTTATGCATATAAGTTCTTTGGTTTATTTCTTCCCACCCCCCAACCCCTTTCCCTTTGAGGTTTGTCAGTCTAGCAATGAATTTGTGCTTCTTAATCCCTTCACCTTTTTCACACATTCCCCCAACTCCTCTCCCAACTGGCAACCAACAAAATGTTCTCTGTATCTATGAGAATGTTTCTGTTCTACCTGTTCATTTTGTTTGTAGATTCCATTGTTGATAGATATGTATTCATTGCCATTTTGTTTGTTCAAACATTTTATCTTTTTCTTCAAAAAGACCCTTCATCATTTCATATAATAACGGTTTGGTTGTGATGAACTCCTTTAACTTTTTCTTGTCTGGGAAAGTTTTTATATGTCCATCGATTCTAAATGACAGCTTTGCAGGATAGAGTAATTTTGGTTGTAGGTTCTTGGTTTTCATCACTCTGAATATTTCTTGCCACTCCCTTCTGGCCTGCAAAGTTTCTTTTGAGAAATCAGCTGATAGCCTAATGGGAACTCCCTTGTAGGTAACTAGCTGCCTTTCTCTTGCTGCTTTTAAGATTCTCTCTTTGTCTTGAACCTTTTGCATTTTGATGATGATGTGTCTTGGTGTGGGCCTCTTGGGGTTCATCTTGTTTGGGACTCTCTGTGCTTCCTGGACTTGTATGTCTGTTTCCTTCACCAAGTTAGGAAAGTTTTCTGCCATTATTGTTTCAAACAGATTTTCAATTTCTTGTTCTCTCTCTTCTCGTTCCGGCACCCACAAGATGCGAATGTTGGCATGCTTGAAGTTGTCCCAGAGGCCCCTTACACTATCCTCATTTTTTTGGATTCTTTTCTCTTTTTGCTGTTCTGATTGGGCGTTTTTTGCTTCCTTATATTCCAAATCGATGGTTTGCTCCTTGGATTTACATACTCTATTATTGAAGCTGTGTAAATTATTCTTTATTTCAGTTAATGCCTCCTTCAATTCTAACTGTTTATCCATGATTTCTAACTGGTCCTTTTTTATGCTCTTGAGGCCCTCCCTAAGTTCACTGAGGTTCTCACTAAGTTCATTGAGCATCCTTATAAGCAGTATTTTGAACTCAGTATCTGTTAGGTTGCTTATCTCCCTTTCACTTAGTTCTTTTATTGGGGTTTTGTTCTGTTCTTTCATTTGGGACCTGTTTCTTTGTCTCCTCATTTTGGCTGCCTCCCTGTGTTTGTTTCTGTGTATTACTTAATGAGAGGTATGGGGCTCGCTGAGACCAGATGCTGCTCGTTTGAAAGAATTTAGGAAAAACCTGAAGCAGGATCTAAGACCGGCCAATCCTATGGTTAAGCAAGTGGCAACAGCTTGGGTGGGCTTGAAAGTTGTGTGGGGCGGGGCGGGGCCTCAGGGAGTCAGCAGGGCGGGGCTACCAGTGTGAGCCAGGTTGCTGGAGTCCCAGATATGGAGACTGTCTGCCGCCCCCGGGAAGGGCTCACCAAAGGAACAAAGGCCTCTGACAGCATGTTTGTCCCCGAGGAAGCCCCCTCTCCAGCGCTCGCTCCAGTGCCAAACAGCTCAGTTCTTCCCTGTATGTCTCTGGCGCCCCTCGAGCTGCCTCCCCTCCGAGCTTAGAGGGAGAGAGTCCGATAAGTCCGTGCGCGGGCCCTTTAGGGAGCTGCCTGGGGCTCCAGCCGCTTCAGCTTCCCTGAGCCTGATTCCGCTGGTTTTTCCAGCCTGAAGTTATGGGGATTCTCTTCCTGGCACTGGAACCCTGAACAGGGCACCTGGTGTGGGACGGGGACCCCTCAGTCCTCAGGAAGGACCTTCCCAGCCGCGGGAGCCTCCCGATTTTTATCCACCAGGCTTGGGTGTGGGACCAGCCCGTCTCGCCGCAGCGAGCCGCGGCCTGCAGCCGCCACCCCTCGCACCGCCGCTTGTCCTACCGGTCTGGATGTAGCTGCTTTTTTTTTCTTAGTTCCGTAGTTGTATGACTTCCATTCAGCTTGATTTCAGGCGGTTTTGAATGATGGTTGTTCTGTAGTTTAGTTGTAACTTTGATGTGGTTGTGGGAGGACGCAATACCGAGTTTACCTACGCCGCCATCGTGACCGGAAGTCGGGAACTGAAATCTTGAATTCTCTGTCATTTAAATCACATATCCCCATGTCTTTGTTTACTTTCTGGATACCTTTTATTCTCTTTCTGGATTGCCTTGCTACCTTGGTTGTTCATGATTATTTGATGGATTTCTCCTGTATAGGCATCTATATATGAGTGGAACTCTGTTAGTAGGTTGATAAGAAGTCTTTCTATTGTTTTCCAGTAGGTGGCCCTGAATCACAAGATTTTTTGCTGTCCCTGCAGTGTGGTGGAAAATGGCCTGTGTTGCCTGGGAAGGCGGATCTCCTCTGAGCTCTGATCCTCTTGGTCTAGAAAACAAATCCCCTAGGGTAATGTGGTGGCCACTGGGATTCCAAATCCGTGAAATCCCAGTGCTGTGGGCACAGCAGCTGCAATTGTGTTGGGGTGGGGTGAGCCGGGCAAATTTGGTTGCTTCCCTTGTTGCTCTGCTTTCCTAGTAATGGTGACGGGCAGATATCTGTGGCATCACCTCCACGTCTCCACCCTACTCTGGGATTAGTCGCTGAGTGTGCCTGTGGCACAGGGAAAAAGTGTTTCTGTAGTACCAGTTTTCTAGTTTCCAGATAACGTGCTCTGCAACCCAACACTCACTGCTACAGCTTCTTCTGGGGACCACTCCAGCTCTGGGCGGGTGAGGAGAGGTGGTCAGGGTCCACGGCTTCACTGGTCTCCAATGCTGATTGCCAGACAACTTTGGCCATACCACTGTACTTTGTCCCTGCCTAGGTCAACTGGGCTCAGCTGCAGCTCCTGTTGCCCTCATACAAGAATGCTCACTGAATCTTTTTGCTCCTCCTAGCTGAAGGGAGCACAGTGGCAATCTGATTCCTCCCCACTGCAGGGTGAGCCCTGAAGTGAGTGCCTGACTGTGAGATCTGGGTTGCGGGCTGAATTTTTGGGTATTCTGTTCCTTTCCCTTTCCCCATCCCCAGTCCACTTCCACTTGCCCACCTTCAGATGTTTCACCGTGCGATCTCTTAGATGTGTTTGTGCATTGAGCAGGGAATCTTTTGCTTAATTCAAGCTGTTCAAATTGTTGAAACTTCAAGGGGTGAGACCAAGATCTCTCAAGCCGCATTCCTCTGATGTGATCCCCAACTGTTTTTTTGTTTTGCCTCATATAGTCCACACATGTAGCTAAAGCAGCCAACAACCAGCAGGTGCAGGCAAAAACAAAAAACAACAAAAAACAACAAGCCACAACACCTCAAGAAAAAGCTCTAATCAAAAAGCCAGAAAAGGGAAGCCAATTGAGACAGAAAACTTTTTTATTCCAGCTAGATACTATAAAACAAAGGTAGCTGCAATCCAGACTCCTACCCCCTTAAGGTTGTAAGTACTCCAAATCACCCCAAGCCCTGCCCACTAGAATGGTGTCAAAGAAGGCTGGGGTAGGGAGCACAGGTCTCTTTCAGCTTCTTGGTTAAATTTATTCCTAAATAATTTTTTGTTTTTCATACTAATATACATGGGATGATTCTCTTCACTTTTTTCCAGCTGTCATTAGTGTATAGAAATGCTACTAAGTTTTGTATGTTAATTTTATATCCTGCAAACAACAATGAGGTATCCCCTCATACCTGTCGGAATGGCCGCCATCAATTAATCATCAAACAAGTGTTGGGAGGGTGTGGAGAAAAGGGGACTCTAGTACATTACTGGTGGGAATGCAGATTGGTGCAGCCACCATGGAAAACAATATGGTGTTACCTCAAAAAATTAAAAATTGAATTGCCATTTGACCCAGTGATCCCACTTCTAGGAATATACCCTAAGAAGCCTGAAACACCAATCAGAAAGAATATATGTTCCCCCATGTTCATAGCAGCACTATTTACAATAGCTAAGATCTGGAAACAGCCCAAATGTCCATCAGTAGACCAATGGATAAAAAAGCTGTGGTACATATACATAATGGAGTACTATGCAGCTGTAAGAAAGGTCTCTTATCCTTTGAGACAACATGGAATCGAACCAGCAACATTTTGAGGAATTCCCATGTTTTCCTAGTAGACTGACTTCATTATCATTAGTGTCCCTCCTTTGTTCCTAGCACATTTATTTCCTGAAGTCTATTACTACTATTGGGTATTCCTATAGCCATTTCTTTCTTTTTTCTCTATAAGAATAATGTTTGCATGGTATTTTCCCCAAGTTTCATTTCAATCTACTTAAAATGTTTTTATTGATTTTTTTAGAGAGAGTAAGGCAGAGATAGAAACATCAACGAGAGAGAGAAATATCTATCGACTACCTCCTGCATGCCCCCTATTGGGGATAGAGCCTAAAACCCTAAAACCCATCTCAGCCCATGGGATGACAGTCCACTGAGCCACACCAGCTGGTTCAATCTATTTTTACCCCTTTAATTACTGAAGTATAGGGAATTTGCAGTTGTTTTTTATCTTATACTTACAAAATATCACTGATTATATTTCCTATGCTGTACTTTACATTCCCATGACTCTTCTGTAACAACCAATTGATACTTCTTAATCTCTTCACCTTTTCTGCCCATCCCCCCAAATGGCAACCATCAAAGCATTCTGTTTCTGAATCTGTTTCTGTTTTATTTCTCAGATTCCACATTTAAGTGAAATCATATGACATTTGTCTTTCTCTGATTTATTTCACTTTGGCAAGATTTAACTGAAACTTATGGCCCGGCCCCTGTGGCTCAGTTGTCTATGTGTCGTCCCATCGAGGTCATCGGTTTGATTCCTGGTCAGGGCGCATGCCCGGGTTGCAGGCTCGATCCCAGTAAGGGGCATGCAGGAGGCAGCTGATCGATGTATTTCTCTCACATCGATGTTTCTATCACTCTCCCAATTCAGAAAAACATTTAAAAAAATGAACTGCAGTTTACCGTGTAACTGAGACCATAAAAAATGAAAACATAGATAAGGCAGACAAGAGGAGAACAGTACCATATTTTGGATCTTAATCCAGTACACATTTGTTGTTCAAATTGTTCTCTTTCTGGTTGACTATGGTCCCTTTGGCCATAACTAACTGAATTAATAAATGAATTGTGGTTAAAAATACATAAAATCTATCATCTTTACTATTTTTAAGGATACAGTTTAGGAGTGTTAACTATATTCATTTTTGTGCAAATGGCTTCTAGAACCTTTTCCTCTTGAAACAACCCGTTTCTTCCACCTGCAGTTCCCCAACTCTGGACACTCTGTTTTGGACTCCTTGCCTGAGGAGTCTTGATGAGCCTGACAGAGATTTTCTGAGAGCCGCGCTGCAGTCTCGGATTTCTCTAATCACTCTTCATTCCATCCTCTTAGCTTCTCACAGGTGCCAGACCTAAGTGGTAGCCTGAAGGTTCCCTCTACCTAGGCTTGCTCCTCAACCCCCATATTCTTCATGTGTTTTCCTCAATAAATCTTGCACATCTAATTTTTTCTTGTCATCAGCAACACATAGGATTTTGTGAAGAAGTAAAATGAGATGTTTAGTTCATTGTATTTTTAATTTATTAATTAAAAAAATCCTCACCCAAGAACATTTTTGCATTTATCTTCAGATAGAGTGGGAGGGAGAGGGGGGTAAGAGAGAGAAACATTGATGTGAGAGAGATACATCAACTGGTTGCCACCCACACCACCCCAACTGGGTCCAGGGACAAACTGCAACTGAGGTAGGTGCCCTTAGTGGGAAGTGAATCCGGGACTCTCTGGTCCGCAGGCATATGCTAGTTCATTGTATTTAGAAAAAAAAAATCTTTTTAAAAAAAGGGACTTGAGGTAGACATTTGTTGTTCCACTTACTGATGCATTCATTATTCATTGGTTCTTTTTTTTTAAATCCTCATCTGGTACTTTTCTATTTATCTTCAGATAGAGTGGGAGGGAGGGGGACAGAGAAAGGGAGAGAGTGACATGACCTGAGAGAATACATCGCCTGGCTGTCCAGGGCATGACCCCGCCCAGGGCCTGGTCGAACTGTACTGAGGTACCTACCCTTGACTGGAACTGAACCCGGACTCTTTGGTCTGTGGGCTGAGGCTCTAACTGCTGAGCCAAACCAGCCAGGGCCATTGGTTTATTATTTTTTTTAAGTAAGTTTTAAAAATTTTATTTTTAAAACATTAGTTCCCAAATTTATTATCACTTTGTTTCTTGGTAAAGTAGAATTAACAGCATCTACCCTGTAAATTTTTTTGCATATCCTAGGAGACCAGGACTGTAAAAGCAGTTTGAAAGGTGCTTAGTCGGCACACACCATCTCGGAGCCTAGGCACCCTTCTCCTTTGGGGTGCCCACCAGCCTTTGGGGTCTCCAGTAACGAGCGGTGTTGGGGGAACCTGGCAGGAAACCCACTGCTTCTCTTGGGGGTAGGTTCCTCAGGTTGGTAACAGAGACAAGAACGGATTTTAGCAAAAGAAAGAAAACCGCTAGTTGGCGGCACAGCACAAGGTAAAACATGAATCTTGAGGACCAAGTTGGGCTGAATTCTGCTTCTGCCAAAACCAAGGGGTGCGGTGAGCCCCGCTGCGCGCAGGGCGTGCAGACAGCACTCTTGTATTCAGGGGATACTCAGGAAAGTGTGTGCGACATTAGAGAAGGTGAACATGAATGTCGTGGCATGTGTGCCTTTCGCTCCCGGCAAGCTCACTCCGCGCTTAGAGACCCTGGAGGGACTGTGGCTCTCTCGGAGCTCGCCGTGCCCCCCATCATCCACCCCCCCACCCCACCGTGGAGCCCGCGGGGGTGGGCGTGCCTGTATGCGGCGTGCACCATGAGCCCTGGTCACCCCGACCTCCAGCATGAACGTGGACACTGGACCTGCCCCAGCAGCAAGGAGACCGAAGGCGACTCTGTGGCTCCCGCACGTCTGCTCCCGGGGGCGCCACCTACCTCGCACGCCCCCGTGCTGTCCTCCCTGAAGTCTGGCGCCCCGCAGGGAGGAAGGGCCAGAGCCCGCCCTCTGCGAGGGAGGCCCCTCACCTG